TAAGCCAAAGCATTTTTCTTCTAATTTAAGAGAAAGAATATGAAATTACGTACTTTTAAGTATGGCCACTATGGCTCACATTAAAACTTTATGTTCATGAGGTGCAGTTCTGAGGATCAGTTCATAGCTAAAGCTGAGCTCCATGGGATTTATGTGAACCTGAAAATTAATAAATTGGCATCTTAGTGGTAAAATATAATGGATAATTCCCTACCTTCGCCAGCTGATTTATCTGGATTAGAGCCTGTAAAAGTTCAACTACAGGTGTCTTCACAGAATTTTTAAATAAGGAAATGATAATCCTTATGCTAAGGAGTTTACTAAACACTCCTTTGATTAATGCACCGTTGGGAAGTCATATGTGTAATCAATATTATAGGCACAGCCCCCATATTATTTGGAGAATTCCAGCTGTTATGTCACTTATTACAAATGTATTATTTATATTAATGAACCTGATAATGCTGCTGTAAACTTTTAATCTATCAGAACTTGATTTTTTTGTCAATCAGCCTGTCCATTTTGTATTCTACCAGTGCAAGAGAAACATTTGCAAGTTAATTAATATCTTCAGAAGCAAAAGGTTGCTTCTTTTGCAGCATAACATTCAGTAAATTATCAACACACTGGTATTCTGTGATGGAGTCAGGAGAAGGAAATAACAGGGTTATAATTGCAGAGAGCATACTTTTTTCTGAACTATTGTTTGGACACTCAACTAATCTTCTGAGAGCACAAAACATTTTTATGCAGTGGCAGAACCAAAGCTTAAAGATGAACTGGAAAAACAATCACTGTTTCAGATGCCAGATTAGGACCAGGATAGGTTTATAGACTCAAACAGTATTGGATAGACTGCAAAGGGCCTATCTGATCACTGACGCACAAGGGATTAGATCAGGCCTCCTAGTCCTATTCATGAATGGCGACGCTCCATGCATATATCTCCGACCTTCCTCCAAAAGAGGGGATGAGCCATCTCTGTGGCACCACTTGCATCCCCCCATTCTGGATCCTGTAGAGAGTCTGCGCTGGGAAAGGGAGTGTAGATTGAATAGACTTGAGAGAAGACTAGGTTGGCTGGGGGGACAGGTCCAAGGGACTGCAAATCGTCCCACCTCTGGCCCTGTAGAAATCAATTAAGAAAAAAAAGATATATAGTATATCCCTGCCCTATATTTTCTTTTCTACAGAGAAATGACATCTCCCTTAGGATTCCAGAGGGACCCATATCTAAAGAATGGCCCTGGTAGCACAACTCCAGTGGAGTTTCATTGCATGGGAGGTATGGGCAACAGTGCAAGGGCAGAGAGAGGGAGAGGACTTCTACACAGATGATGCTGACCTTCTACAGATGTCCTGGGGATCAATACAGATCCCTGGATGTGTGAGGTTTGGGGATGTCCCCAGTGGTCTTTTCTGCAAGGTGACCAAATACTACACCTTTCTCTCCCTGACAGGATGATGAGGGAGAGATCTTTTCCAGGGAATCCGCTTGGAGATTTCCTTCCTCTGAGGTCTTTGTCACAGAAGGGGATGATCTTGGCCAAGGAAATTCACTGTTGGATGAAGTCTCTTGCTCAAATATGTGGAAAGAACTGGGGGTAATGAGGAAGGGCTCCTGGCTAAAGAGCTCAGATTTTACATCAGGAACTTCTGTAAAAACTCCTTTCTGGCAGTAATATGGAAAGGGAACAGAGATTAGTACTGGAAGTGGCTAAACAAGGAGACTTGGTTGAGGCCACTTTGTTCCACAATGGGTTTAAAAGATTGGTCTTGCCTGAGTTGGGCCTGCATTTATTTTTGTTTTTAGAACCTGTTTCCATAAAATTAGCTAACATTGAAATCTTTGTGGGGAAACACTCTGTGGAATGGTGGCCAGTTTACAGTTGCAAATAAACACCTACTAATGCTATGGAACCTGAGAATCAGCTCCTGTTTTCTGACAAATTAGAATTCAGGATTTCCTTTTTGAAACCTAACGCAATGCAGTGAATGCAGTTCCCCAGTCTGGGTTAGGTGTTAATGTCATCAACTGTTGCAGGATACTAATGTTACTCTAACTCTGGTCTTGCAAATGAAAAGCAATGTATTTGGGATATTGCACAGGGATTTTAAAGGTCTTACTATTTTTTGTTACATTTAATCAAGGAATGTTAAAGGGTTTGTTAAGGATGCTGGCCTTTTTTCATCAGTGTGACCCCAGGAAGATATCAGTAAATGTAACATAATTAATAAGAAGATATTAATGAAAGAATATGATCATAACATCGACAGCAATTATGGAAAAACCTAATGAACCTGCCAAACTTATCATCAATGCTAGACATACAATATAAATCATGACATTATACTGAGCCATGGATTATTTTATATTATTGCAAATTATATGGTCCTCATCCCATCTGAATCAGTAAAAATTGCCGTTTCATCTCCATAAACTTTCAGACAGTCATAATGTACCTTACTTCTAAAAATATCATTTCTGTCCTTTTACTGAACATTTACATTCCTGGAGTCTAATATCAATTAAATTGAAGTGAATAATTGCCTGACATGTGAGAAATGCATTTACCTCATACATATATATATATTTCTACTTCATATACTGAAAACAATTATGTATGTATATTAAGCCCTTTGTTTCTATTGTGAGCAATGCATAAACCTTCTCTAGCGAATGCTATGAAAGAGAAATTATTTCTCCATTTTTAGAAAGTGTTAAAAGCTGCCACCCAACATTTTGTATACATAACAAATTATTTCTCGCACTGTAGTCTTCCCTAACAACAACACAATTGCTTCAATAACATAAAAACTATAAAATGGCTTTTGCAGCACAAATCTTAGTAGTGCATAAAATAGAAAAGAGTGCACCTATTGAACAAAAAATATCATGCAGAATATATTTCTTTATAGCAAACTTTTAGAGTCCAGAAGATCATACTGCTTATGCCGTGTAAACATTATTTCTTTTCATTTACTACATCAAAAGAGCAATCTATATTTTATACTTAGCAATAATGCACCATTATTAATGTGCATGATTTTGAATAGTCAGAAGTTCTCACTTTCTTTAGACACAGCTTTTAAAAAACAAAAAAGCAAACCAAACCAAACAAAAAACTGAGCAAAAGGAAAGGAAAAATCCCCAAAAGAAATGTCAGGGAGAAGATATAGGTCAGCAGTGCCAGAGCACATAATGTAATACAAAATTGGGGGGGGGGGGGAAGCAGGATGGAACAGTTACTATATAAAGATTTATATTAAACTCCTTACTATGGCAATTTGATCAATTACCAAAATGTATAATTTTAACACAGGCTGTGCCAAAAAGACACTTTTTTTCTGTAATCATGTTAAACAAGCCCTAAAACGCATCTTTTAAAAAGCTCTTTATAATGTAAAAGCCAGGGCCTCCAAATGATCAGACTGACACATTACAAAATGTAATGAGGTATGTTAGGCCAAGAAACAAATTACAGGCCTTGTTATTCCAGATTAATCTGAATCCATTTTTTTTCTCAACAAACAAACAGACCCTGGAGGGTGGTGATTAGCTACTGTGTGCTTGTGCTCTAAGGTAAAGCATTCTCACTGAGTTCTATATTCTCATCTAAACATGTTGCAGTAAGATTTTTTTAATTTCACAGGGAATGAAAATTGCCCCAGGTGCTAAAGCTCTAAGATCTAGTAAAGGTCCAACCTAAGTGATACATAGGGGTTTTTGTAAACCCTCTGCAATCACAATACACTCTGTAAATCAAGATGACCATACAAATCTATGGCATATATCACGGATGGCCAAACATACCGACCCTCCAAGATGCATAGGACAATCTGCAGAAGTTTGAGAGCTGAGGCGCGCCTGCAGGGTTCAGCGCTTCAGCCCTGTGGCAGGGTGATGGGGCTAGGGGCTGCTGCCCTGCAGGGTCAAGGGGGTCTCAGGGCTTAGCCTCACAGGGCACGCCTGCCAGGGCTCAGGACTTCAGCTCTGCTCCCACTGAAGCCCCAAGCCCCAGCAGGAGCCTCCCCTGGGGCTGAAACCCCAAGATCCCTCTCCTTGCTGGGCGAAGCCCCACCACCCTGCCACAGGGCAGAAGCCCTGAGCTCCACCAAACAGTCTGGTAGGTGGAGTCTGTGGGTGTGTGGGGGCTCCAAGAGCCACACTTTAACTGTAAAAGAGCCGCATGTGGCTCACGAGCCGCAGTTTGGCCATCCCTGGCATATATTGTCTCTGTAGCTCTCCCTACAGCTTTCAATGTGTATTTTCCTATTTTTATCCCTGATTTTACTTTTCTTATTGCTGACCAACTTGGGTGGTTTTTAAAGGTTTTCCTTAACCCCAATTTTATGCAATTTAAAATCTGTTAAAAGCAAAGCTAGCTAGAATCAGAAATCAAAAAAGTTCCTTTCCTTCTCCATAGGAAGATGTGTATCCCATGTTTAAAAATGTGTTTACATATGCCAGCAACCTGAAGTACTAACATTCTCCTAAAAAGTGCATTTGCTTTACATTTCACTACATCTCTGGGTGTTTTTCAGCCGCTGGTTTAACTCAAGAGTCAGGTCATCTGAGCACCCTATGTAGCTTTCATTTTCAACTGATGCAAAGGCAGAGAAAAGGACAGAGAAAGAGTGCTCTATTTACTTCTGCCATCCTGCAGATCTGTTGGTGAAGGCTTAGGAGGAAAAATAATCTTGAAGATAAGAATTAAAGGTTACTGAAGAGAAATCAGCCATGGAAAAGGGGTTCTTCATTGTGTACCTTGCTGGGTCCATCTGTAATAAGATATTGATGGAACATGACACAAATAAAGAAATATAATAGAGATAATCTTTTTATTTTGTTCAGTTTCTCATACACACAACAGTCACAATACTTTATTCTGGGTAATAAGGTACAATAAAGGAAGTATATGACACTTTCAGTTGTAGTGCTTTTGATAGATACAAGTTGTTACAGTAGAGGTTTATTATTTCATTTTTTCTTAACACAGAACCCAGTGCAGCTCCTACTGATGTCAAGGCTACAGGTTTGTCTGTATCAGAGATTCTGGTTGCGTGGAAACATATTAAAGAAAATCTAGGAAGACCACAGGGATTTGAGGTATGAATACAGAATAACATAATAAAAAGCATTGTTATTGTTGCTAACATTGCATTTTGCTAAAGTTTGGAATGGTGAAACTTCAGTAGACGTTATGCTCATAATATATGACTATCTGTAGGAAAACAAGGGCTATAGAAAACACAGCTGGGGTACTGGAATAGCCTTTATTGCTTGTTCATGCTTTTAAACAGTCCATTGCAAGCTCTTATAGGGTCCCTAAGGGTACATCGACACTGAAAAAAACCCCCTCTGTAGCAGCGAGTCTAAGGGCCCAGGTCAACTGACTTGGGCTCATGGGGCTCAAGCTGTTGGGCTAAAAACAGCAGTGCAAGTACAGCGGTACAGTCGGGTACACTGTACAGCAACATATTGATAGCCAGTATGGCATACTGGAAAGACACGGGAGCAGCCAGCAGCCCCACACCTGAAGCTCCTCTGGTGCAGCTGTACTGCCCCCAGCCCCTCCCCCTGCCCTTCCATGGAGCTGTGTCTCCTCCATCTGTACAGCGGCAGCCCCGCCAGAGGACAGATCTGGGGGGCGGGGCTGGGAGTTGTAGAGCCCCGCCCCCCAGGCCTGTCCTTCAGCGGGCTGCTGCTGTGGTACACAGACAGAGGACGGAGACGCAGCTGCGTGGAAGGGCAGGGGGCGGGGCTGTGGGTTCTGCTCCTTTCCCCGCTGCGGTTCGCGGGAGAGCCCTGAGTAGAACAGCAGCAGCTCCTCCGGTGGCTGTACTGCCCCAGACCTGTCCTCCGGGGACAGACGGAGGGGACGCAGCTGCGTGGAAGGGCAGGGGGTGGGGCTGGAAGCAGTAGACCCAGGCCGGAGGAGCTGCTGGCATGGGGCTTCCCAGCCGCCCCACATTCTGCTCCTTTCCCTGCTGCGGTTCCGAAGTCTCTGGTGCAGCAGGAGGAGGAGGACAGAGTCCCCCCAGGCAGTGGTGAGCTGCAGCCGGTTTGCACCGGTTCGCACGAACCAGTTGTTAAATTTTGAAGCAGATTTTAGAACCGGGTGTTAACCCGCTTCCCTGCAGGGGGCCCTGAGGCTTTGATGGGCTCTGGCCGGGAAGTGATGTAATTCCTCCTCCGGCCACCAGGGGCGCTGCGCTGCGGGAGCCATGTGGGCTGCCGCCTGGCCCTGGGCACGAGCCCTGTTGCTGCTGCTGCTCCCCCGACCCCTGGCCCTGGGGCTCCCGCTGCTGCCTGGTGGGTCCCCTCTGCTGGGCCTGGGTTGTGTCCTGCTGCTCTCCCCATGAATACCCACCCCCTGCCCGCAGCCAGCCCCTGCCGCACCCCCTGCCCTGACTACAGCCACCCCCTGCCTGCCCGCACCAGCCCCTGCTGCACCCCCTGCCCTGCCCGCACCCAGCCCGTTTCCAGCCACCCTCGCACCTCCTGCCCGCGGCCAGCCCCTGCCACACCCCCTGCCCACAGCCAGCCTCTGCCACACCACCTGCCTGCAGTCAGCCCATCTCCAGCCACCCCCGCACCCCCTGCCCTGCCCGCACCAGCCCCTGCCGCACTCCCTGCCCTGCCCGCACCAGCCCCTACTGCACCCCCTGCCCTGCCCGCAGCCAGCCCCTGTCTCCAGCCAGCCCTGCACCCCCTTGCCTCCAGCCAACCCTGCACCCTCCTGTCTCCAGCCAGCTCTGCACCCCTGCCCTGCCCGCAGCCAGCCCTGGAGCCCCTGCCTCCAGCTAGCCCTGCCCACGCCCCTGTCTGCAGCTGGCCCCACGTCCACTGGTGCCCTGCAATTCCCAGGGCAGTAACCCTGCACACCTGCTTCAATGAGGGGGCCAGGGAGCAGCTAGGAACCACACATGTGCACACCCTAGGGTGACCAGACAGCAAATGTGAAAAATCAGGACAGGGGGTGGGGAGTAATAGGAGCCTATATAAGAAAAAGACCCCAAAATCGGGACTGTCCCTATAAAATTGGGACATCTGGTCACAGTAGCACACCCCCAGGGAGTGGCGGGGATCCACACATGTGAAACGGAGCTCATTTCTAGTTCAGGCCCATTTTTCAAAAAGAACTTTAGGCAGGGTTAACATACATCCGTATTTTCCCGGACAGGTCAGGCTTTTTGGTTCTTAAATCGCCGTCCAGGAGGAATTTTTAAATTTTAAAAATTCCTCCCGGGAAAATACAGATGTCTGGTAACCCTGTTGGTACAAAAAATACATACTGGGGCACATCCCTTAAATCAGAACTTTTTATAGGGAACCGGTTGTTAAGATTTTGGCAGCTCATCACAGCCCCCAGGTAGCATGGGATGTATCATGGGAAGGGGGTGGGGAGATCATGGGGAGGGACTGGGGGAACCTGGTGCTCCGGGCTGGGGGGTGGGGTAGGGAGGAGTCACATGGAGGGTCACATGAGGATGTCTCATGCCTCCACCCCCCTACCGATAAGAAATGGATTTTATTTGCACAAGTGGCTAAAAATAGCAGTATAAACATTCCTGCTCAGGCTGGGGCCCTGGGTCTGGTACCCTGAAAGAGGGGAGGGTCTCAGGGCCTACCCTTCAGCCCAAGAGGGAATGTCTCTACTGCTATTTTTAACTGTGTAGCACAAGCCAGAGTCAGTTAACCCAGGCTCTGAGACTGGCTGGCTTGGGTGGGGAAGGGTGTTACAGTGTAGACATACCCTAGATGGTCCCAAAGAGTTGAAAGAACTGCAAGTCAGCTAGTGTGATGACTTCCCTGGCTACAGAAGTTTAAGTGTGGACAATTTTCAGGTCTAAGCAACCTGTTCAAAATAGTTATTTACTGAGAGACATCCCTATGCATTGCACTCCTTGAGCAAACATAGAAGACACAATCACTGTCTTTTTTAGTGTGCTTTCTTAGAGATTATTGCTGTTGGTGATGGCTTGGAGGACATCTGCTGGACAGAAAATTGCTGGGATAGGTACCATAAGGCGGAGAAACCTGTTCAGTCACCACAAGGAAGAGAAGCTCTACGTCAGGGATTGGCAATATTTGGCATAGGGCCCATCACAGAAAACTGCTGGCAGGCCGGGACGGTTTGTTTACCTGCAGCATCTGCAGGTTCGGCCAATCACAGTTCCCACTGGCCGCGGTTCGCCGTTCCAGGCCAATGGGGGCTGCGGGAAGTGGCGGCCAGCACATCCCTCAGACCTTGCCGCTGGGACCTCTGGAGCTAAATGCATGAGCCTCTAATGCATGAGCTAAAAGCCATATGCCCTTTCGGTAAGGCTGTAGAGCAAACTCATTAATCTCTAAGTGGTCTCAGTGCCACTAGATGGGACAGAACACCACGATCCAGGAGGTGCGTGAGTTACAACTGCATCAGGGTCTGCCATGTTGTATTGCTGCCACTTAAGCTTATGCTTAACCACGCATGCTTAAGCCCCTTTGACTTCAGTGGGTGTTGGTCCAGGCAATAAGTACACAATTCAGAGGAACCATTTTTAAAGAGTTCTTTGTTCTCATATTCCCGTAGTTAAAAACATGTCTGTTTCCACCTTTCCCAGTCCCTCTTTTATACTGTTATTCACTGGAGTGAAGTTCCTGAAAGTCATAATCCAGATGCTCAGATATTGCATTTCGTCCTGAACCAAACAAAGTCCAAACCGGAGAAATCAGTTTTAGGACAATAATGAAAGAGGATTCTAATTGCATCCAATTAAATATGAAGAAATATCATATCTGGACTAGTGTCATAGTCCAATCCAATATACACAAATATATTGGCTTTGCCTGTATTACTGCTTTTAAAGATCATGCCAAATAGCTTAAGGCCATATTGTACAATCTCACGCAGTAAAAGTCAGAGAGAGAAACGGAGAAGAGTAAACTCTGGTAATGGAGCCAGTGAGATTTCCTGTGAGAGCTCTTCTCTCCTTCTGGGAGGAGAGTGAAAGGGGGTTATATCCTCCAAACCCCGGAGATCCTGGGGTTGTGCAGTAAAAGGAAGTTTCAGCCAGACCGAGGGGATTGCCTATCCATTCTTCTGTCCATTCTCACCACCAGCATCACAGCTTACTCAGGAATCATGATGACATCAGCTAACCTCATCATGCTTGTCCAGTATACTTTTTTCCTCCCTGGAGGAGTGAAAGTGCAGAACAGATGTTAATGATGCTACCAGCAGCTTTAACCTTAGCTGGATTTTCAGCTGGAAACACCACCAGTTTTGGAGGGAAGCAAGCAGCCCTGTCCCCATTGACCCAGCCTCATCCTAACCATGCAGTGGTTATGTCCTTGTTGTGGCTACTGGGTAGGAATGGAGAAGGCTGGTATGTTGGCTTCTCTGCTCCCTTTTGCATTTTTGTGTTTCTGTGGTCCCCTTCTACTCCTCACTGCAGTAAGTGTATCTTTTCTATTTATTTGCATTCCCAAATATGTTTGTGGATCTGTCTATTGTAGTCATACCAGTCAATGACCCTGATCTATCAACCCAGATCTTTTTTTTATTATTATCCTGTGTTTCATTTACCATGTAATTCTCCACACTGAATTCTGCAAACCACTTATCAGTCCTGGCTTGTTATATTTTAGTCACACTCCTTCCTTGTGTTGAACGTGCCCCTTTCCCTGTGCACATGACTTGCTACTATCCGGAAAAGTTGGTAACATACGGTGTTCCATTTATTACAGCTAACTGCTATATAAAGAGAACAAAATTATGCCTAGTACAGATTGTAGTGGCACTGCAAATGTACCTCTCTCCATTCTGAAGTCTTTCCACTCACTAGTAATCTTTGTCTTCAGTCTCCAAGATAGTTTTTTATCCTCTGAATAGCTTGCTCACTACACCCTGCCTTTTAACCTCAAAAACGAGACTTTGTGTAACACCCTTTCAGAAAAATGTGATGTCTAAATAAATTATGGCTACTATTTTCCCTGCCCTTATCCCATTGATTTCATTGATTCTCAACATGTTGAGGTTTATCTCAGCCTTTCCACATTTATTCTGTTTTGAATGAAATAATTAGACTTTTATTTCCCAAATGAAAGTGTTTTCACTCATG